AATGTAGGAAATTTTCATGACACCCGAGGATGAGGAATAAACGTTAAGGCTCAACTTGCTAAGAGGAAGACACATGGTAAAAGCCACCAGGAAATCAGCTACAGGGTTAGCCACAACAGTTAACACAGGCAGAGGAGCTTGCACAGTACATATTTATATTCTGATTTTAGAGTCTCAAATTAAGATCACAGTAGTGACCAGTTTATTCTTTGATAAAATCTCCTTCCCTGCAGATGGCTTCTGTCCTTGCTAGTTTTATGTCGACTTGACACAGAGCTATAGTCATCTGAGAGAAGGGAAACTCACTTGAGAAAATGCCTCTAAAAGATCAGGTTATTGGGAGACAAGTCTTTAGGGCATTTTCTTAATTAGTGACTGATGTTGGAAGACCCAGCCCATTTTTGGTGGTGCCACTCCTGGGCTGGTGGATCTGGGTTCTATAAGAAAGCAGGCTGAACAAGCCATGCGGAGCAAGCCAGCAAGCAGCATTCTTCCATAGCCTCTGTATCAGCTCTGCCTCCAGGTTCCTGTCTGCTTTGAGTTTCTGCCCTGGCTTCCCTCATCAGTGGTCCCTGATTCTGGATGTGTAAGCGAAACAGACCTTTCTTCCCTAGTTTGCTTTCCCTAGCATTTCATCACAGCAGTAGTCACCTTAACTAAGAAAACCACCTTCTTTCTACATCCTCACAGGACTGTGAGAAAGAAGGTGCACTTCTGGTATCTCTTTATAAAAGGGTGCTAAGTCTCAGCTAACCCCCCCCCCCGACCTCATCTAAATCAAATTACCTTCACAGAGCCTGTCCTCAAACACAGTCATATCACATACAGGTTAGGGGCTCAATATGGAATCTGGGGAGGAGGGGAGCTGTAACGAGAGGTTGTTTAGCCTGGCTGGGTCCTGCCACCACTTCAGTCCCAAAGAAATACATGGACACTATATTAGTTATAAAACAGTTGACTGGTGGCTTGAGCTTCTTATTGGCTAGCTCTGTCTTAATTATTAACCCATTTCTATTAATCTATGTGTTTCCACATGGTCTTGAATTACCAGAGAATGCCTGGCGCTCTCTTCCCAGGCTTTCATGGCGACTACCTCTGCCAACATTTCCCAGATTTCCCCTCATCTCCTAGCCCTGCCTATACTTCCCGCCTGTCCAATCAGCCAATCAGTGTTTCATTCATCAACCAAAAAAAGAAACATATATACAGAAGGACATCCCCCCATCAGAGCGCATTAATGAGAATCTAGTTTTTTTTAAGATGATAAATGATTTCAGATATGTTGAATGGGATGGAAATAGAAGGAAATTGTTGGCAATATGGTGTAGAGCATGGGAAAGGGAATACGGGAAGATGGAGAAATGGCTCAGCACTTGCTGCTTTTCCTGAGTACCCAAGTTAGGTTCCCAATTCCTCCTTTGAGCAGTTCTCAACTTACAAGTTGTGGACAATTCCAGCTCTAGAGAACCTGAAACCTTCTTATGGCCTCTTTGGGTACCCACACACGCGGCATAAATAAAATAAATACACATAAATAAAAATAAACCTTCAAAAAAAAAGTAGGGAGACTGAATGACAGAAGCATTACCAAGACAATGACGGAGAGATATTAAGACAAAAGAATTTAAAGAAAGGTGTGATGGGAGTGCTTAGAGGCATCGTTTGGAGTTTAAATGGGGAGTTGGATCCAAATTCTTTCCATTCACTTTTCTCATTCTTTTAAGAAAAATCAATGGTATCTACACTATGTAAAGAAAAAGTTCCTGCCGTCTTGTAACAGCTACCTGAAGATGTTCAACAGCATTTTCTGTAAAGGGTTTTCCTAAGCAGGCTGATACTCCACTGGACCTGTTCGTCACAGAAATAGCATTAATACCCAATGTGAACCCCGTTAAATTATAGTCAGTATGCTCTTGGAAAGAGATGAATGATTTTTCATTCTTATTAGATTTAGGCAAAGTTAGAAATTCAATGAGAAGTCCCATCTCATCATTAAAAAAAATAGTGCACAATTTAAAAATGCAGTGTTTCACTGAGCATGATAAAATTACTGATGAGAACTGGGGAAGATGGATAGGTTAATCTGTTTGATTCAATAATTCCACATTGTATAAATATACCATAGGTAAACCACAGTATCACTTTAATCTCATAAATATATATAATTATCATTTGTCAGAATCTGAAACAAGTTTGAAATTGTAATAATGATACTGTCATTTGTCAAATTGTTCCCTTTATTGTAAATATATATTTTTATCACTTTAGGAACTTAGCAGTATATTCTCAGACTGGGGCCACATTAACATATTTTAAATGGCTTGAGGGTTTATTTTATACCCAGGAATGAAAACGGAGCCATGTTTGTGGCAGCAAGCTTGTCAAAGAGCCCTGACTTAAAAGTGAGAAATGAAATATTAGTATCCGTTTAACTTGGGAGTCCTCTGACTCCTGTACTTGGTTTAGGGCAACCTGTTGGTGCTATGCTAAACTCTAGCTTGCTGAAAGTACAGGGAATAATTTTCAGACCACAGTACAGATCTTTTTAGTACAATGCAAATATAATTTTATGGATGGGAAACAGCTGTGGCTGCAGTTATCTGCTTCCCAATTACAATGTATTTGTTAACTTTTGGGAGTTATTTTGTTTTCATAATATTTATTTTAACTTGTATTGACTTGCATTGCTTAGATCATAGTCACTTCAAAAATATTTTACATTGTTCGAATGTAAAGAACCTGACAAGGGTTAGCTCTTGAAGCCCAGACTGATGGCTGGGAATCCAGCATGGGACTGATCAAGACCCCCTGAATGTGGGTGTCAGTGAGGAGGCCTAGGTAATCTATTGGGCCTTGGGTAGTAGATCAGTATTTATCCCTGGCACACAAATGGACTTGGGTGCCCAACCCACAATGAGAGATGCGCTCTCATCCTGGACTCTTGGGGGAGGGTCTAGGCCTTGCCCTGGATGAAATGACAGACTATGGCCACCCCATGGAGGGCCTCATCCTCCCTGGGAAATGAGGGGGTACTGGGGGGGTTTGGTGGGAGGGTGTGGGAGGAGGGGCGGGAAAGGGAGAGGGACCTGGGATTGACATGTGAAGCAACCTTGTTTCTAATTTAAATTTAAAAATTAAAAAAATTTAAAAAAAGAAAATGTATAATCTAGCAATCAAAAAACAAAAAGGAATGTTTGATGCCTCTGATTTGCCTAATACGTTTACTTGGAGCATGGTAGACTATTATCTTCAATGGATCCTATATGGGTCATAATGCATTCATAATATTTGGTAGAATAATCTCATGCCTTATAGTTCCCTACTATAATGTAGAGCATAAGAAATATACAGACAAAATTATTGGTGTGCTTATTGTCGCCACACTTCTCACCATGGCTACAGTGCAGGCTGAAGGGGGGATATGTGAAGGAGCTCACCACAAAAAGGCAGAAATTGAGCTAGGTTCTCTTCTCTTCTATACTACTGGAATATTGAACTTATCTGTTGATGGAACGAGACGAGTGAAAGCAATCTTAGAAGGCCACAGAGAGTTTGTGACTGACCTTGCTACTTAAAAATTCACTGGAGGAAAAGAAATGGGCACTGAACTACACTGAAGCCCAGTTAACACTGACCCGCCTTACATCACCTTTCTAAGTCTCTGGGGTAGCATAAAGCCTAGTCCTCGAAATTTGTCTTTTCACCTTCTACCCTCAGTCTCTGTGATTAATGGGAATGAATCTGGCTGTGGAAGAATCAAAGTCCCCAAGGAAATGGGAGTGGCATAAGGGCAGCTGGCATGGGAGTCTCCCCGTCCATGTTAGCTGAGAGGATGAAGAAAATGAGAGAGAAACATACTGGAAAACAGTTTGAGCTGAGGTAGAAATTTATGTTTGAGAGTTGCCTGCTGCTGTATTGAGTCCAGTATGAAACTATTGGTGCGCTTATTGGCTACAGTGAATGCTGAAGGGGGGATACGGGAAGGAGCTAACCACAAAAAGAAATAAAGGTGCCTTCTGCTTTCCAAGTCCCCACCTTCCATGATAGCACACGCATTCCGATAAAGGGTGACTTCCAATGCTAAGGGAAGCTCGGCTTTTAAAAACGCATCTGAGTTTCATTTGAACAACTAAGCTCAACCATGCTCAGGATTAACCTACTTCGGCTACATTAAGAAATGTTTCTGTTGTCTTGTAGTTGGCTCACCACAGTCCCGTCACTTCCAGCCTACTCGGTCCTGTTAGTGAGCTAGGTTGACAGCTACCTACTGTTGTTGATTAACGGTGGTTTCTAAGTGTTACTTTGAAGCCTTCTTTGCGTATACATAAGGACAGGCCTCTTATCTAAGGTTTCATTGTGGTTCTGAAGCTCAATTTTATAAACAATCTTATCGATGCTTAACTTACTTGCCATAAAATCCACCAACTTCAATTGTACAGCCACTTAACTTTAGTAAATGTATGTTTAGAAGGTTTTGGCCAGCCATCCACACAATCCATTTGGCAGCCTGCAGACTTTGTGAAGTTATAGTTTCTTGTCACCTTCCATAGAATCAAGAGTTGTGTCACTGGAATAAGAACACCGAGTCTTATTTTAGTGTAGCGATCAGGTTTCCCTTGGTGCAATAGCCAAGGACCAAGCCAGGAGCGTCTTGTATTTTGCTACAAACAGCAGCAGAGTAGATGAGAAAATTTTTCTTAACTGGGTAATAAAACTGACTTATTGTGGCTTTGCTTGCTTGGCGGAATTGCAGTTTATCATTTCTGTCTATTAAATATTTCATTCAATTTTGAGATATGCATTACAACTTGACTCTTCAAGACATATGGAGTGATATTTTCCAACATCGAGCTTAATTCTGAAACCCATGTGATTATGTGTATATGGTATATTTAGGTGTCAGGAAGTGGCTTATACCCAAGGTTTTCAGAATATAGAGAATTAATATATTACATGTAGATTTAATACAGAATTTCACTCTTGGTGTTTTTAACCCACAGAAGACATGCGAAGCACGTTCTAGCGAGGTATAAAGCATCACAATGGGCTAAGTCCTATGTCTTACCGGAGTTTCCCTACGACGTCAAGTGCATGCTGGCGGAGCAGAAGTGCCCTGATCACAGCATGAGGATAAGGATCATCGAGTTTCTCCAGGCAGATATGACTAAGTACCTGGAAGGCTCGCTGTGAGTAGAAACAGTGAGAACGTGATCTGTGCTCAAAGGAGAGTAGAATTTGTGTAGAACCAAGTCTCCTTGTCTTATGGATGACACAATGAATAAAAATTTCATAGGCAGATTGAGAAGAGGTCATGTGGTCATTGACTCAGTTGGGTAAGTGCTCACTGCACAGTCCCCAACACCCATATAAAAATATAGACATGACAGCACATGCTTGAGATTGTTTCTCTGCATGGGGGAGAGGACGTACTACATAGGTGGGTGCCTGGTACGCACTGGCCAGTCAGCCTTGTCTAATCAATCAGTGGGCCCAGTTCACAACAAGAGACTCTGTCTCAACAAACAAGGTTGACTGTGCAGGCCTCCATACCTGCGCACGCTTGCGCATGCGCACATACACACACACACACATACACACACACGCAACACACACCACACACACACAGAGAGAGAGAGAGAGAGAGAGAGAGAGAGAGAGAGAGAGAGAGAGAGAGAGACCAGCAAGAGAACATTTAGAAGAAAGCTGTATGTTCTTTAAACTCACCTTAATTGGGGGCTGATGGAAACGACCCCCATCTCATCTGTTGTGGACAGGTACCCCACCACCCAGCAGTACAATGATGTGGTCAACGCCCTGCTGCAGGCCCACCCTTTCCTGGATGAAGACGGCTGTGGCTTTGTAAGTGAATGTGTGACCCCACGATCCTGTTCATCTCGGTCCATTTGAAATAAGACCTTTGCATTTTCCACTCCGGATCTGCTGTTTTGTCTTTTATTTTCTTAATGTTTTCTTTTGTCTTAAGATCATAATATAATTATTTCATTTATCTTTTGTCTTTCCTCCCTCCAAACCTTTTCATATACCCTTCTCACTCTTTCAAATTCATGACTTTTTTCAGTAATTGTTACATTCATATATATTCAGATATATGACATATAACCTGTATGCTTTGGGTATGTTTTCAGGGATGACCATTTGGTATTAGATAATGAATCCGTATGCTCTTTCCTAGGGAAGACTATTTCTCCCAATCTCAGCATTTCTTAGTTGCCTATCCTTGTTTGTGTAGCACTGAAGCATTGTGGTCTTTCCCCTGTCTATGTTGACAAGTTTGGTATTCATGTTCTTTCTCTCTCTCTCTCTCTCTCTCTCTCTCTCTCTCTCTCTCTCTCTCTCTCTCTCAGCTCAGTCTGGAAAGTGCTTGCCAACCTTGATAGCCAACATTCACACAAAAGTGTGGTGTTACACACATGCTTATGATCCCAGTGCTGGGAAAGTGGAGATGAGCAGGTCCCTGAAGCTAGCCTGCCAGCCAGTCCAGCCTAGTCATTAAACCCCAGGCCAGTGAGAGACCAAGGAGGGTGGCTCCTGAAAAAAAAATGACACCCAATATTGACCCCTGGCTTTCATATGCATATGTGCACATGTGATACACCTCTGCATAGGCACCTGCATACATGCATGCATAAGGACACACACAGAGCATTAGGCAGGAAAGACCATGCTGTTCCATTTGGTAGCTGAAGAACCTAGACTCAGGGGTCACATATTGAATGTTACTTGGTTAGAACATATTAGATTTAGTATTGGAATCTGAATCTTCCCAACCTAGGCTATAGATCTGAAGATCAAGGAATGCTGGAATGTGAGTCATGAAATCAGGGATGGCAAGAGCTAAATGCCAGATCTTTGACTAATGTTTTCTCAGTGTTTCCATTTGCTCATAAGGAAATAAAGTAGATTTGTTTGTTTGGATTTTCTTGTTTGCTTCATTAGCTGTAATTGGGTGATTATAATTTGAACAGTAATGTCATAAATTTTTTGTCAGGATAAATCTAAGGATAGATTCATGGTTTCTATTAATATAAAATGAAAATAATTTCAACCCTAAGGATGACATACAAAAATTGTATTGTTCTATAGGACTATGCAAAACTCCTAGAGGATTGATCGGCCTGCTTTGTTATTTTACACAGTTTTTATGGAAACGAGCCCTCAAAGATCGCTTTAAATATGTTCGAAGACCCATAGAAGATGATGAACAAGTCCTGAGAAATAAGTGTAAATTTGGACATCGAAGAGGCCAGACAAGGAAGTCTCTTGCTGACATAGGATCTGATGAAGTTAAAATTGTGCAGATAAAAGTAAGCCTGAATTCTAAACAATCCTAAATATTTGTGGCTGATTAATGATGTGACAATATATGGTAGCATTAAAACAAGTGAGATACCTTTAAAAAGTTACCAATAAAATTGACGGTTTGCATGGCTGACATGTTTCTTAAAGAGGGTGGCAGTAAACATTTGGAGACCAAGATGTTGTTAAATGCTTCATGACCAATTTTCTTTATAGCCTTTGAGGAAACTGGAAAAATCCTTGAGCTCTGGTTTCCGGAATCATTCTCTTCTTTTCATTCTATAATGCATTGCATATTCTCTTCTCCTCTTAGTCTTTGGAATGTCTCATGGAGCTCAAACTTGTTTCAAATTCCTTATGTAGCCAAAGTCGACCTTGAATGGCTGATCCTCCTGTCTTCCCTTCCCAAATGCCAGGGTCATAGGCCCGAACTATCTCACCTACTTGCGGCTCATGTTGTGATGTTCATATTACTAAAGAACGTTGGATTCTTGTTGTTTTTTGAGGCAGGGCTTCTTTATGTAGCCTTGGCTGTCCTGGAACTATGTTTGTAGACCAGGCTAGCATTGAACTCACAGAGATTTGCCTGCCTCTGCCTCCTGAGTGCTGGGATCAAAGGAGTGTGCCACTACTGCCTGACTTGAAAGTAGGATTCTTAACATTAATTTATTCACTAATTTGAGCCCTGGAGACTGAACCCAGGGCCTTGTGCATGCTAGGCAAACGTTCTTCTGCTGAACTGTACTCCTAGATCTAGGAACATTTTAATATTCGCATTGCAGAAGTCAGCCTCCAGTCCCAAGGCTGTAGGGAGGCAGCTATCCATAAGCATGGCTACAGAACTTCATACTGGCTTCCCTCCTCTGCTGGCCCAGGTAGCTTCCAATCCCTCACTGTGAGTAGCATCAAACTGAGGGCAGGCAAAGCCTAGAGATTGCTCCTCTACCAAGGGGAGGCCTTGTGAGTCTTAACATATGTCCTTTAACTGCCTCAGAGTCCCAGATGTCCTCAGAAAAACGTACCTCTGTTTCAGTGTTTAATTGCTAGCTTCTCTGGAATGCTGACCAAATTATCAAACATAGAGGCTGAATCTCTTGTCCTCCCAATTACATATATTTTTCACTTTAGTCTACAGGAATATCATAAATCTTAATTCTTTACACATTTATATTATAGAATGGTCATGATGTAAATACTTCTGCTTTTTAAATCTGGTATATTTGTTTATTATTAATAAACTATTTTATCATGTCAGTTTTTTAGTTTTTTCTATGAGCTCCAGTTTAGCATGTTTTGTAAACCATTCATTCCAGCATCATGCACCATGCAAAATTTCAGACAGAGTTGTATTGCCTAAATATCTTATTGCAACTGTAAATGAGACTTTCATATGCTAAGTCAGTTAAGACACTATTATTCTTCTTCTCTGACAAAATGACAAGACCATTGAATGGTACCCTGAATTTAGTGAGGCAATATTTTTTTTTAGAAACTTTGCTTTCACAATTCCAGATATGAACTAAAACCACAGTAGCTATAGAAGCACACATTTGCAATCCCAGCACTTGGGGGTCCAGGTAGAAAGACAGAAAGTTCTAGCTTGGTGTGAGTTATAGAGTGAGGTATTGACTTCAAAAAGATAGAAAATAAAACTGACATCATGATGAGATAGTCGCATGTGTTTTAAAACGTTTCACATGTTCTTAATAGGCTACTCTGGAAGAGAACTATGTTGTGTTATTGCTGCATTACACTATTCCCGGGGAGATGCGAGCAAACATTTCACCCCACATGGGAAACTGGTGACAGAGCAAGTACAGATATCACCAAAGTCTAACTTGGTGAACCAATGAGTTTTATTGGCTATACTTACAGAGGTATTGGTGAGGGGTTCTTTACAGAAGCAGAAATCACTCAAAGTCAGTTGTATTACCAAAGCCAACAGCAGCATGGATGACAGCTTACCAAGCTGGAAACCTGGAGCTTATTGTACAACTTGCAGGTATCTCAGTGGATTATTTGTGGTTCTTTTGGTTTGAGCCTCCTCGCAGTAGCTCAGCTTGCCTGAGAGTCTTCTGGGCAGCACAGGTGGTCTCTCTTTCTCCCAAGCAGCTAAGCCTGTCTGTGAGTGTCTCTGGGCAGTCCTTACTGGTCTCATACTCCTGAGGAGGGAGGAACCTAGTGAATCTGATCAGTTTCAGGAACTTCCTGCATCTATTTTAAGTTATTTGCTTTCAGTTTTAATGCGCATCTGTGCAATGCGGAATATTTCATCTCTCCTTAGAAAAATCCTGTTGTTTCACTTCTCTGTAAACATTCTGTTTTAAAATAATCTGTTGTTTTACTTCCCCTTTTTACATTGAGCGTGTTTCTCTAGGATGGAAATTTTAACCTCAAGGACACTACCACATAAGAATTGGCCATAAGTCAATTTCCTTCCAGAAAGCAGATTTTTGTGACTTTGAAAGTGAGTCTAAAAAGTTCAGTTCCATTTTTCTTCTTTTCATGGTTCATGTCACACTGAAATACTTTGGAACTAATGAGCGACAAAACTGAATAAATAGCAATCATCACCTGAATTAAACCTTAATATCTCCATGGGATCTGAGATCACACTGAGAGGCCCAGTCTACACTTGAAGTTTTTCTTCCATTCATATAACATCTTGGCGTCCTTTTTGTACATTGTGCATCCCTTGTCAAAGAGCAATAGAACTGTTCAGAGCTAGAGTCTGTGTGGGTCTCCTCTTCCAGACCTCCAATAGTGCCTACATTATAGGATGGAACCCTCTAAGGCCTACACAGGGTTGTTGCTTAAAAAAGAAGAGGGGATCCAGTTTTGGGGGGCTCAGCTTTATTTTGTAATTAAACAGAGATTTTTACCTTCCTGCCATCTAAGCTAAAAAGGTGGTTGGTCATTGTTTACATCTGAGGAGACATTTTTCCTGGGAAAGAAATCCCATTAGAAGTTTTTACTTATCACCCCCTTATAAATGTAGCTGTAAATCACTATTCCTCAAACTCTATAGCCTCTCTGCTTATGATTTTGTGTTCTATAAAGTCATAAGCTTTTGAAGGATGGAGCACAGAATCCATGTATTTCTCTCTATATATTTTAGCTCCTATGGTGATAAAAATTTTTGGATGCAACTGTGGGGGTTAGCAGAATCTTAATACGTTGGATTTATCTCAAGGCATTTAGTGCCTCATACTGACTGCCTAAATTACTTTCAATTTCCATCTTGACCTTCTGATAGCTTTCTTAAGGTTTGAACATCAAAGATGTTTGGGCTTAGATACCGTTGGGGAATTCTCATATTTAAAAAGTTCCTTGACTGGTACAATATTTACACACGATAGAAAAAATAAATCTATATCATTTGCTGTAGAGATGCAAAATGTTGGGGCAGGCAAGAAGCAAGAGGCTGCCCATGCATCCCAAGGCAAGGAAGAGGGATCGGCCCCTTAGAGGAAGAGATGCGGGAGGAGAAGGGATTGATTTGAGGCTTTATTTCCTGCTCTTTTTTTTTCCTTTGATAATATGACACAAGAATGGGAAACATTTCAAGGAACAAAGACAGGTTTCTTAGTCCTATCATGTAGCATCCATAGATAATCAAAGTCACTTGTGTGTCTCTGAAAAGGGCTGCATCTTTTGTTCCTAATCTTTACCTTCTGCAGTCTCTTGGGTTAGCTCTATACCAACTATGCTTTTTGGCTACAGTGCCCAAAGCAGTAGCAATGCTATTGCCCTATCTGCGCATGTGTGCTGGGGTGCCTCTGACTGCTCCACCAACACTTCTACTATATTTTAAGGATAACTTGCCCATGAGGCTCTAGGCCGCATCTCTAGTCCAATCCCTCAAGAAGCTGAGTATTTTTGTCATTTTTTAAAATGCCTTTCCAATCTCCAGACCTTTTGGTGCTTGCCTGGTCTTGCAGTCAGTGCAGTAGCTAATTTCTACTACTTCCTAAGCATTTGACTTTCAGTGTCAAAAGAAATAAATTAAAACAGGAGAAAGGCTGAGAACAGGGTCGTGGTAACCTGCTGTGAGTCAGTGAATGTGTCTGGATAATCCAGAACCAAATAATTTGTAGTTCTATGCATTGAACACTAGGTTTCCTTTATTTTTTAAAATTAATATATTATTGGTGTGTACGTATGCTGTATGTGTTGATGTGCATTCCATGGTGTATGTGTGGAAGCCGGAGGATGACTTTGAGAAGTCAGTTATTTCCTTCCATCTTCATGTGGGTTAAGGGGATTGGACAAAGGACACCAATCGTGTATAGTCTGTACTTGGCCTGATGACCTGTGTCACTCTTGCTCACTCATATTTTAAAATATACAAAAACTTTACTGTATGTTTCTTGCTGAATATGTTGGCTAGTCTTATGTCAACTAGACACACACTGGAGTTATCTGAAAGGAAGGAACCTCAATTGGGAATATGCTTCCCTAAGATCCAGCTATAAGGCATTTTCTTAATTAGCGATTTATGATGAGGGCCCAGCATATTGTGGATCATTCCATCTCTGGGCTGGTGGTCCTGGGTTCTATGAGAAAATGAGAGAGCAAAGCAGTAAGCAGTATGTCTCCATGGCCTCTGTATCAGACCCTGCCTTCAGTTTCCTTCCCTGTCTTAACTTCCTTCAGTGATGAACAATTCTCTGGAAGTGTAAGCCAAATAAACCCTTTCCTTCCCAACTTGCAATAGAAACCCCAACTAAGACAATAAATAAATAGAGTGCTATGGATTCTCAAAACAGATCATTTAACTCTAGTAACTGTGTAAGTTGCTGATGTTTTCTGTTCTCTCTGTTATTCTTTTGGTCTCATGCCATCCCTCATTACATTTGCTTCTTAACGTTGGTTACTGAATGTTTGTCACCCATGCTTAGTGTAAATGCATTTTTTTATTGTCAGTGGCTGATTAAATACTTCAGAATGAGGGGAAGGACTAATGATCTCCTACTGGACTCACCCCTGGACTACTTTGTAGCATGTG